ACACACTGCTAAGGTCTGAAAACTTGATCTTTGTCTCACTTTTCATATAACAATAAAACTTTGTAACACAGTCCCAATGCATACTTAAAAGTCTTACCTAGCCTAAGAACATTAAGTTCCGACTTTATTCAAAAGATTAATAATTATATGAATTATATTAATAACTCAGATGCTTATACAGTGTTTAAACATTTAGAAATACAAATCTTTACATGCAAAATGTTTCACTAAATCGGTGGGCAGGAAATCTTTATCATAATCTATTTAAACCAGTGTCAGACAGGCCTGTTTATAGTCATCAAAAAGATTAAGGCATCATCTGGAAACATCTGTTGTCACTGGAAGCATTGAAGCATTTGAAAGGAGTCTATATCAATAAGACCCATAATCACCCCGAGACATCAGCCATTTATCTTGCCTAATCCGGATATTTACCAATGCAATGCCCAATATATTTGTTTATACCCTGCCTGTGTACCGTTATTTGATGATGCATGATAACACTTGCCTATGCTGAGCAACAAGTGGGTCATTATTGTTTGGTTGCCCGGAGACGCTAATATTTCACCTCACAAACCATCGGATGAGACCGCAAATGTCTTACTGTGGTCAGACTGTTTAACATCACATGGCAAAGGCTAAATGAGACTTGCGGTTATATGCTACAGGTTGCATATTGATGCAGGAAAATGTAAAGGATGCCAAATAAAACGGCTGCTCTACACATTTGGTTATGCTCACCTGTAACTGGTTTTCAAAGTTTTGAGATCTACCATCACATTTGATATGAACACTCAAGAGAAAAATGCTACAGACTTGAGCTGCACTCTAAAAAATGAGTTTCAAACAACAAATTTGCTTTGGGAGAACGTGAAGGAATTAAGTTCACGTATTAGTTTTAACATGTTTAAGTGGATTGAACAAAAAACAAATAAGTTGCCAACACATTTTTATGTGTTTAAAATCATATTGCCTGAAAACCGGTACTCTAGTGCTATAGTATTCTCTATCGCAGATAAATATAAGATGAAAGTGTAACATCAATGAGATTTGTGTTCTCTTTTTTCATTATTTGAAGACGCACTCTGAAGAAAATGTCTTCTCTTTATAGCTTTGTATCCTGAGAGTGTTGTATTTGTTCATGTAACATGTGCACCATAGGATACCCCTCTACCCGACGCTCACAGTTTCCCAAATCCACACACACACAAAAAAAAAAATCCTCGCTTAGACTTCACCCTCCTACGGGAGCTTGTTTGTATCTTTGTTCAATCCCAGCAGAGCTTTATCAGCTCTGTTGTTGTGTTGTTCTCTTTCTTTGTACTATGTTTGGTGTGTGAGGGTAAAATGTGTTCACAGTACACACACTTTCTTCCTGTTCTTTTTATTATTAGTTTCTCTTTTACACTTTACACTTTACAGTCTGCAGTTCAGGATGAGCCAGTCTTAGTTTTTTTGGGGGGGAGGGGGGGAGCTTAAATGTTTACATCGTCTCTTGCTTGCCTGTGTTTCGTTCCCTCAGAATGTAATGAGTTGTTTTCTTTTTCACACTTTACACACTGTAAAAAAATGCAGGGTTCCACACAATTACTTCATGTTGTCCCAACACAAATCAATTAAGTTAGTTGCTTTTACAAATTTAACTTGAATAAACATAAAACAAGTAGGGGTGCTTTCACAACTAAAAAAGTCTTGTTTGCTCAGTTAGCACAGTTGTTTGGCATATATGAATCCAGCAATCATTCCTACGTGCAGTTGTGTGTTTCATGTCGAATACGAATGTAAAGGCATGCTGAAATATTACTGAGAGCTGTTTATCTGTTAGGAAAATTGACCGAAATTACCATCTGATATAAAAAAATATATATATTTTAGTCTTATAATATGTTGTATTAGGCCTATTGTTTTGTTCATTTCTGCATTGACACCTCAAAAGAAAGATCAACATCTGCTTAGATCTGACTGCAGTCTCGCTTCATTTGTTTTTTCTATGATATTGTTAAGAAAAATATGCTCTGCACCCTGACACATGGTATAACAGGCTTGTGCTTATTCTCTTAATGAGTTATTGGTGTGTTTTTAGAATAACGTGCATTAAACCAATTAGAGTCTCATCTCACATTCCCTTTAAAAGTCAGTTGTGTCGCACCACCACATTCGCTATTTACATGGCGGACTTTGCAAGTGGGAAAACTGAACGCTTCACTAGCGAGAAAACAGCTAAACAGACCATCTGCTGCACGAGGATAAAGAATGAGCCTCCTCCATTCAGCCTCTTTACTTTTACTCTTTACTTTACACCTTTACTTTTTATGGAGGAAACAATGTTGTACACACTCCACTGAAGACATATTAGCCTACATATTTAATTTAGTTTGAGCGCAAAAAAATTGTTTCAAAACTATTTCTTAAATCAGTTCTAATTTCCAGCAAATGAATAAATGAACAATATAAATGAAGATCCTTCAATTTATTCATATGTAAAGATATTTGTGTATTACTGTACATTTTGTGTTTATTAAGCAATAAGCAATGTTTACTGTATGCGCTTGGACCCGCATTGGCACATAAATAACAATAACGTGTTCTGCACTGGATTTTACATCAGCTTTTAGTTGGTCAATGGCGTGGTCTATTTCAGTTCCCCAAAATAGCAACACGCCAACAATGCGCCTTAACACACTTCCTTTTTAGACCAGCACATCCGTGAGTCCACAAACGGGCGCACATTGATTTGCTATTTAAACAACGTGGCACAAAAAAAATGAACATTACAGTTGCGCTGGTCATCGATTTAGTTACCTTAATCACTTTTACAAATTTAAGCAGATTGAACATAAAAATTAAGCCCCCCAAAAAAATTATGTGCCAAAAAACACACAAAAAATGTGTTGATTGTGTGATGTAACTAATTTTAAATAAGTAGTTTAAACCAGTAGCAAATGTCATTTTTAAGGGCAGTCTGCAGTTCAAAAAGAAACCAGCCTACGTTTATTTTGGAGGGGTCAGCTGAAATATTTACAATGTTTCTTGTTTTCCTGTGCTTCATTCCTTCAGAATGCAATGAGTTATTTATTCATGATTTTTTTTTTTTTTTTACACTTTACACACTGAAAAAAATGCTTGTTTCCACACAACTTCTTCATGTTGTCCCAAAACAAATCAATGAAGTTGCCTTAATAATTTTACACATTTAAGTGAATTGATCATAAAACAATTTAGTTGTTTCAATAAACACAAAAAAAATGTTGTTTCAACACTTAAATAAGTAGTTTGATCAAGCAGCAAATGTCATTTACACTTTACACCATGTAAAAAATGCTGGGTTCCACGTTTTTCAGTGAATTAGGCATAATGCAATTAAGTCCCAAAAACATTATGTGCCAAAAAACACAAAAATGTGTCGTTTCAACTTTCAATAAGCAGCATATTTCATTTTTTGAATGGAGTCTGCTGTCAGTCTTTTTTGCCGGGGTGAGCTTTAATTTTATCATCGCTTCTTGTTTTCCTGTGTTTCGTTCCCTCATAATAAAATTAGTTATTAGTTATTTCCTTTTTTCACTTCACACACTGTAAAAGACAAAAAAAAAAATTAAATAAATAAATAAATAAATAAATAAATAAATAAATTGTGTCGTTTCAACTCATTTTAAAGTTAGTAGTTTGAACAAACAGCAAACGTCTTTACACTTTACACACTGTAAACAATGCAGGGTTCCACAAAATTACTTCATGTTGTCCCAACATAAACTGATTAAGTTAAATTAAACATAAAAACAATTAAGTTGTATTAAAAAACAAAAAATGTGTTGTCTTAACTCATTTTAAATAAGTAATTTGGTAGCAAATGTCATTTTTTTGAGTGCCAGTCTCAGTTTGTCTCTTGTTTTCCTGTACTTCATTCCTTCAGAATGCAATGAGTTTTATTTATTTATTTATTTATTTATTTTACTTTACACATTGAAAAAATGCTTGTTTCCACACAACTACTTATTGTTGTCCCAACACAAATCAATTAAGTTGCCTTAATAATTTTAAACATTTAAGTGGATTGAACATACACAAATTTAGTTGTTTCAATAAACACACAAAAAAAATGTTGTTTCAACACTTAAATAAGTAGTTTGATCAAGCAGCAAATGTCATTTACACTTTACACCATGTAAAAAATGCTGGGTTCCACGTTTTTCAGTGAATTGAACATAAAACAATTTAGTCCCAAAAACATTATGTGCCAAAAAACACAAAAATGTGTCCTTTCAACTTATTTTAATTATGAAGTTTGAACAAGCAGCCCATTTCATTTTTTGAACGGGGTGAGCTTTAATATTATCATCGTTTCTTGTTTTCCTGTGTTTTGTTATATAATAATAAAATTAGTTATTACCTTTTTTCACTTCACACACTGTAAAAGACAAAAAAAATAAAAAATTTTGTCATTTAAAATAATTTTAAAGTTAGTAGTTTGAACAAACAGCAAACGTCTTTACACTTTGCACACTGTAAACAATGCAGGGTTCCACAAAATGACTTCATGTTGTCCCAACATAAATTGATTAAGTTAACTTAATTGTTTTACAAATTTAAGTGAATTAAACATAAAACAATTAAGTTGTACCAAAAAAGAACAACAACAAAAAAATGTTTCAGCTCATTTTAAATAAGTCATTTGGAAAAAGTAGCAAATGTCATTTTTTTTGAGAGCCAGTCTCAGTTTGTCTTGTTTTCCTGTGCTTCATTCCTTCAAAATGCAATCAGTTATTTGTTTGTTTTTTGTTTTAACTTGTTTTATGTTTAATCCAATTAAATTTGTGAAACAATTAAGTTGTCCCAAAACAACACGAAAAATTGTGTTGTTTCAACTCATTTAAATAAGTTGTTTAAGAGCACCAAATATCATTTTTGAGAACAGTCTGCAGTTCAAAATAAGCCAGTCTCAGTTTTTTGGGGGGCTTAAATATTAACATCATCTCTTGTTTTCCTGTGTTTTGTTCCTTCAGAATGCTGAAATCTCCGTCTTTGAAGTGAACATCCGTTTTGTCGGAGGCCTTCTGTCTGCCTATTATCTCTCAGGCAAAGAGGTATGTAAACCTGCAGTGTTACAGATGTTTTGTCACGCTTTACCAAAACCACAATGTCTGCTTATGGCCAACGGATTTGATATTCAAGCTGGCGATAATTGACACACTGCCTGAAGGAAGCTTGGAGCTTGTAGCTGGCATTTGTTTTCAGCTCCTACGCATTTAAAGACACCGTTTCCCCCCGAATCTGTTGGAAATCATTGACATTTATAGTTGGCGGAGCACAATAGACCTCTCAGGAGAGCCATGGGGGGATTAGGGCTGGTCTTCTCCCGGTGGTCCGACTGTTTGCCCGAACGTTGAGCCAAGTCAAACAAACACACACACACACACACACTCGGTCATCCCACTTAGAGCTTATTCTGGAAGCTCTGTGCTCACTCTGATAAATTGAAAGCCTTTTTTTTTAAAGCCAAAAAAGATGTTGGACTCTCAAGCGTGACCTGCAGTACTCGCACACATACACACAAAAGCCCATTTCCAAGACTTCACTGAATCAGGCTAATGCAGAACTTTGCTCATATTTCAGATCTCCCTGTTCTGTAAATTAGATTTCCCCCCTCCCAGAAGCATCTGGCCAGGACGTAAAGGATCTGATTCAAATCGAAAGAGTGGCTTTTCTCTCGACTGAATACTCAGGGCTTTTTCTTGAACTGTCCCACAGCAAATGCATGTGCTCGCAGTGATAGTGTAAGCTTTCATTTTTGTGCGCCGCAGAACAGAGCTTTGTCCGGAGGGGGATCGGATCACTGTGTGAGCTTCATCAGGCCTGTCTGCTCTTCTGCTTGTGTTGATGTAAGGCAGACCCCTTCAGCAGAACTACTAGCGCAGAGTAGCTGTAGTAGTGATGCAGAAAAAAGAAAAGAAAAGATTAGATCTTATGGGAAATGTTCATTTTTGCCTCTGTGGCTCAATAGATTTAAGTTTTTGTTTTTGAAGCGTTGTTTTTGCATTGCATGTTTTATTAATCGTGTTGAAGATGACCATATGTAGATTGCTATAGTATTTAAATGTTTTCTTTGATGGAAATGAAAATTAAATTAAGTATATAATATATACTTATATATATATATATATATATATATATATATATATATATATATATATATATATATATATATATATGCAAATGAACTAATTTGAAAAAAAAAAAATGTTTATTCAGATGATAATATAAAATAAACTCATCGACCACTTTATTAGGTACACCCTATTAGTACCGTATTGGACCCAATTTTGCCTTTAGAACTGCCTTAAACCTTCATGGGGTAGATTCAACAAGGTTCTGGAAATATTCCTCAGAGTTTGGTCCATATTGACATGATGGCATCACACAGTTGCTGCAGGTTTGTCGGCTGCACATTCATGATGCGAATCTCCCATTCTACTACATCCCCTGCTCTATAGGATTGAGGTCCGGTGACTGTGGAGGCCGTTTTAGTACAGTGAACTCATTGTCATGTTCAAGAAACCAGTCTGAGATGATTCATGCTTTGTCATGGTGCATTATCCTGGTGGAAGTAGCTATCAGAAGATGGGTACACCTCAGGTAGGCTGTGGCGTTGACATGATGCTTAGTTGGTACTGTCGGGCCCAAAGTGTGACAAGAAAATATCCCCCACACCAATACACCACCAGCACCAGCCTAAATCATTGATAGAAGGCAGGATGTATCCATGCTTTCATGTTGTTAATGCTAAATTCTGACCCTACCATTCGAATGTTGCTGCTGAAATCGAGACTCATCAGACCAGGCGACATTTTACCCAATCTTATATTGTCCAATTTTGGTGAGCCTGTGCAAATTGTAGCCTCAGTTTTCTGTTCTTAGCTGACAGGAGTGGCACCCGGTGTGGTCTTCTGCTGCTGTAGTCCATCCGTCTCAAGGTTGGACATGTTGTGCGTTCAGAAATGCTCTTCTGCATACTTCGGTTGTAACAAGTGGTTATTTGAGTTTCTGCTGCCTTTCTATCAGCTCGAACCAGTCTGGCCATTCTCCTCTGACTTCTTGCATCAAAAATGCATTTGTGCCCACTGGATATTTTCTCTTTATCCGACCATTCTCTGTAAATTCTAGAGATGGTTGTGCGTGAAAATTCCAGTAGATCAGCAGTTTCTGAAATAATCAGATTAGCCCATCTGGCACCAACAATCATGCCACATAAAAAGTCATTAAAAAACGTTTCTGATGATGCTCTGTTTAAACTGCAGCAGATCATCTAGACCAGGGGTGTCAAACTCAATTCCTGGAGGGCCGAAGCCCTGCACAGTTTAGCTCCAACCCTGCTTCAACACACTTACCTGTAGGTTTCATACAAGCCTGAAGGACTCAATTAGTTTCATCAGGTGTGTTTTATTAGGGTTGGAACTAAACTGTGCAGAGCTGCGGCCCTTTTGGAACTGAGTTTGACACCTGTGCTCTAGACTATGTCTACTGCTGCTACGAGTTGCTGCTATGTGATTGGCTGATTAGAATAGGTGTACCTAATTAAGTATAATAAATATTATGAAGTAATACATTTTATCATTATCCTTTAGGCTAAGTTTTTATTTCAATATTTATACTGACTAATTGCATAGCACTAATTTAAGCAAAATAATGCAATAATAATAACAAAAATATTACTAATAATTTGTTGTTTTTATGTACTATGCACACACATTTTTGCAAAGTGAGGTGTAATGTAGAAATTTTTAATTATATGAAAATAATATTGTAGATTTTCAAACTTATGTTAATGTTTACATTTTTTAACATTAATAACATGTTATAATCTAAAATATTTCAATAGCAGGTTTTAATGCATGTTTATTGAGCACTTTTTTTACATAATGCTGTGATTCGATTACAATGATGAAATATATTAGCATAAATAATTGTTTATTTTATAAACAATAAATTTGTTTATAAAATAATTTTTATTTATTTTTAATAATTAAAATAATTATTATTGGATAATAAACAAGTTAACAAATGTATTATTTTCATTTAAGTAAATATACATTTATTATCATTTTTTCTTTGCGTTTAAGTGCTATTGCTTAACCATGAAAACTATTTTGTTAATTATCAAATGGAAATTAAAATAAATGTAAATCACTGGATTAAAATAAATGTATATTTTTTTTAACAATCATTGTTATTTTCTGTTAAAACTTTGTCCTTGTTAAATTTTATTCATACTAAATAACTGCTAATGTATTTCATTATGAATCAAATAAAGCATGAAAGCCTACTGAACCCCACACAAACCTTACCGCACAATCTCTACATCTGACACATTATACCCTTATCCGCCTAACCCCATTGTAGTCCACTCCCTTTAATGAGACGTGACCTCTTAATGTCATCCCGCACCGAGATTCAGATTTCCTTTGACGGCTTATATAAGATGGGTGTGTGTCGCGAAGAAACGCTGCCTGTTGAAAGTAAATAGTTGGTTGTCAAACAACGTTTCAGATAACACCGAAGGTCTCAGCTATCTCTCTTGTTGTGAATAGTCTAACGGTGATATAAATCTTTGAACACTACATTATTGTTCTCTCAGCAAGACGCAAGCTGGTTTCATCACTGTGTATTGACTAGGGAGGAAAACCGTACGAAGCGGATGAATACAAAGTGGGCAGCAGTGAGTCCAGGTTTGAAGCACAGCAAGCACTGATGAAAGTCCTTCACTGCGGTAATCTCAGACACTCAGGATAATGAGACGCCCTCCTGCCTACCTTCATAATAATGTGCGCCCTGTTCTGAGAAATGTTGATTAGTGGAGATCTGTAGCCTTCAGGTAGCCAACCCACGACAGGAGATCTTGGTCAATTTGTCTGGATTTAAATTCTTACTTGGCTTTTGGAGAATGGAATCTTTTGGAAACCCAAACCCATTATGGGATTCCTCCAACACCATGTGGTTAAATGAACTGGTGGGTAATAATGTCACTATCACCACTGTGAAGAAGATTTTCTTGGCTGCCTTTGGATCTATATGGTTTCCATGTACTGCCAAGTAAAATGACGTGTTTTTCGTTATCGTTTTTACTTTTCAACATATGCGTTCTTGCATGATTCAAGGTTAAAAACTGGAATATTTGGTGTTTTTTGGAATTTGTTTCTAATAATATAAAACCTTTGTGACACTTGTATTTTAAAGCAACTTGCATAGGGCATGTTTTCAATCAAGCAAAGTCTGCGAAGCACACAATTAGATGTGTCAAAAATTGGAGGATTGATAGATTAAATAGTAGATAGAAAGGTGTAAAAATGGATGCATAGATGGATAGATGAACGAATGAATGGATGGATGGGTGGATAAATGAACGAACAGATGGATGGATTAATGGATGCTTGGACGGATGAATGGATGAGAAATGGGTGAATGTAAAGATGTGTAGAAAAACGGTTGGATGGATGGATGGATGGATGGATGGATGGATGGATGGATGGATGGAAAAGGTGTGTATAGATAGACAGACAAATGGGCGGAGAGATTGCCATTTACCAGATGGAGAGATGGATGGATGGATGGATGGATGGATGGATGGACGGACGAATGGGCGGAGAGATTGCCATTTACCAGATGGAGAGATGGATGAATGGATGGATGGATGGATGGATGGATGGACGGACGGACGGATGAGTGAACATGGATGGATGCTTGGACGGATCAATAGATGGACAGATGGATAGATGAATGGATGAAAAATGGGTGAATAAATGTAAAAATGTTTAGAAAAATGGTTAATTGATAAATTAATAGGATGGATGGATGAACAGATGGATAGATAGATGGATGGATGCATGGATGGACTGATGGAGAAGGGGTAAATAGATGGCATTGCCATTTACCAGATAGGGAGGTGGATGGACAGATGAACGAATGGATGCATGGATGGATGCATAGACAAATCAATAGATGAACAGATGGATAGATGGATGAAAAATGGGTGAATGAATGTAAAGATGTGTAGAAAAAATGGTTGGTTGATAGATTAATAGAGTTGATG